ACATTCATTACAGCTTGGAAACAACCAAATGGAAACCAACTTCCTTGAAGATATTTGTAATAATGGGAGGGGTCAAATGACAGTGCTTAACTGCAAAGGCAGCAGCCTGTTGGTCACCTGAGAAGTTGAAGTGTTACCTAAATGGATAGCAATCACTGATGTAATTGTGCCAGAAAAAGGGCTTTAGCTTTCCAAACGCATAATGTTTGAGGGTGAATTTAAAAGTTAAAGCAATGCTACAGGCCTCTGCTCCAGTTCACTGGGTCTCAACCTTTTTGACTTGAGGCACCACTTGGACGATGCCAGCTCTTAGTTTTTACTCTGTTTCTTATTACAGATAAGTACAACAGCAATTCTTCTGTTGCAGAGAACTCAGAGAGACCATAACATGGCAGAATATTTTTAACACTTTGAATTCCTATTTGAAATCTCTGGATTTATCTTGAGAGTCATGCTTGTGCACCCAACAGTGCTAACATTGCTTGGCACCCTGCAGTGGCTTTGAAAATGTATTAAGACACCCCAAGCAGAGAATCATCGTTCTAATCACATATGAGGGCCCCAATTTTCAGAAATTTGTGGTATCGAAAGAGAGAGGTTGTGAGATTTTAGCCACATTTTAGAGAGTGAGTGTGAGAGTGTGTGTGTGTGTGTGTGTGTGTTTATATAGTCTGTCTGAAATGTATGTTCCTTTTCTGTCCTTCGGAGCTAATTCCAGTAAATCCAATCAGCCCAAAAAAGGGTACAATTATATTCAGGGGATTGATAAAGTAAGCAAACAGCTTGTTGGTTCTTCCCACCAAGTGTTATGATAAGAAAACATAACTCAGCGTGCTTTTGTCAGTAATTCCCCCTTGTTGCTGAGTATTTCGTCTTTTCTAGTGATTAAAGAATCAGATTATCTTTTCAGATGCAGAGTTTTAAAGGAGACATCTAGATTCTTGCAGCTTGCTCTGCTTTGAGAATTGGGACCTACTGAATAGTTGCTTGTTTCTCTGGAATAAAACAATAGCTGGCAAAACCTCAACCGTTAGCTCATGTAATAAAATACTTTAATGTCTTGCACTTGTCTTGAATTGCAAAGTACAAATGCTTCGGCAAAGAATTATAGGATGTGCGTTTTATTATAGCATCTGAAAATGTTTGTCCTCTATTGAAACATTGTCTTGGTATCTCTTGCAGGGAAACCTAGCAGATTTTAATTAATAGAATTCTCGTCTATCAACATAAAAAGAAGCTACCTCCCTCGAAACCTCTCTCCAAACTGTCCTATGTTGTGATTTCTACAGAACATTTGGGCTGCTAAAACTCTGAGACTAGTATTGTCTCAAAGCTGCTTTGTACTCCCCTCATCTGTTGTTATGTCTTTGTTCTTATGTTTAGATTCTGAGCTCTTTCAGGCGGGGACCAACTTTTTGTTCTGTATGTGGACAGTGGGGTTCTGGTCCTTGATCCATGTTATTGACTTGTATCAGTACAGTGTTTTGTATCTCTCCAACTATCTGCATCCATTTTCACACATTCCAGTGCCTGCTGTAGTTTTGATGCTATCCATCAGATCTCTGGAAACTTGTTAGCATTGGCTAGATTTGTGTTTTAGGCCTGAATGATATCACAGACACTTTGTACTTGAAGAGTAATTTTTTTCTGGTTGTCATGACAGAATAGATGCATATCAAGCATTTGAAAACAAATGGGCCATTGAAAACCTGTGTGTTTTAAATATTTTTACATAATTTTTCATTACGAGATCTTTGACCATGTTATCTGATTTCTCTGGCAACAGCTAGAGCTCTGGAGAGAAGAGAGAGATTATAAAATAACACCACAAAGCAACTGTCTCCAAAGCTGTCTGTGACTTGTCTACAGAAGGAGGGTTTGGCATAAGGTGTAAAGAGAAACTGGGTCAGTCAGGACAGATCCATAGACAGCAGCCTCCTAAGAAGACAGCCATGATCTCTTGATACTGAGAGTAGCCTCACTGTGAGAGAGTCTGAAATAGGACTTGTGTTTAACTTAGACTGATGATGTCTTTTGTTACATGTATGAGACAGTGGCTTAGCTGGGAGTGCCACTCCTGAGTTGGTGGTATATGGCGTGCTGAGTACAAAAAACAGATTCAGGGGCTCTGTAAAGAAGCCTGTCAGAGGGGGAGAGCATGTAGGAACCCGCTTTTCCTAAGAGGAAAATTCTTTCTCCAGACTGAGGTCCACTGTAAAACAATCCCAAATATCTGTGTATGCTGCTCAATAAAGTATTTCTGTCATGGTGGGCCTGGGTTGGGCTCCATGCTGCATTTAATCTGTATGTTAGTATGTAGTTGCAGTAGCATTTAGAAGGCAGGATGTCAAACTGTTAGGTGCTGTACAAGGAAAGCAGAGACATGGTCCTTGTCTTACATGAAATGGTTCTGCTTAACTTCACATCAATTTTTTTTAGAGGCAGTTTGCCGTGTTAGTCTGAAGTTAGGCAGAAGATGGAGTAGGGTGGCACTTCGGCAACTAAGTGGCATGAGCTTTTACAGAGGCGTGATCTTTTACACCAGGCCTTGACTGGCTTGAAGAGATGAAGGATCAATAAAGAACAAGGCCAACTAGACCCACACTGCCACTGCAGCTGCCACTAGTTCGCATTTCTGGCTGAGAGGAGTCCACGCTTGGTCCAAGCCCCGCTTGAGGGCTCTGGTGAGTTTGTTATCCCTGATAAAGCAGAATAGCAAGCCTTTTATTAGGCCTGGTTGCTGATTTCTGACACTGGCTTCTGTTTACTGTCCATCAAAGCATTCCTTGCATTCAGTAGAGCTGCATAATCCTTGGCTCTGCAGCAAGGCCAAGGTGGCTTGTGTTCTTGTGGTAGGTGTCCTTACAACGCGTGCTCTAGCCTCTGATAAAAGGCACTCACTCCATTAAGCTTTGTCTAAACAGAAAGTTACTGGCATGGTTCTACTCATAGATGCTCCTTGTGCTGATGCTGAGTACAGCTGAGATGGAGACAGGACTTCTCAGGGCATCAGGTACTCTGTGGTAACTGTGTGTGCACACTCTTTCCCTGCCATAAATGAAAATAAAACTGGAGTAACTTGGCCATCTGTCATTGAATCCTGTTGCTGTGGGTTGGCTTCCTTTCTGTTGCTAGGTGGTAATGGCATATGAATTGGTGAATACTACAGTATGGCTGATGTGTGGTAAATTCCATCACCCCCTAGTCTGGTCAATTCCATGTCCATAATCTCCCTTAATTCTGCAGTGTCTGTCTGGGGAGGTGTACTAGTATGACTGTAACCATGTAACTATGTAGGTCCATCTCTGAGTAGCCATTCAAATTTAATTCTGCTCCTGTTAAAGTCTAACTCCAAGCTTTTTTTGGAAATTCCATCCAGGGTGGCTAGGGGAACATGGAAGGTAGTAGCAATGGTAAATGAACATGCCTCCCAAGTTGAGTGGCGCTTGTGTTCTCTTCCCATAAAAGTCCTCGGTCACTCCGGTTGAATGGTAGTTTGTGTGGGTACTAAGAGCTTCCCTGGCTAATCCAGGACTGGAAACTGCATTTTCAATAACCGTGTTTAAATGAAGTGGACTAATGTCCTTTGAAATTTTAAGTGTCACTATTTTTCTGACTGCAAGAGTTCAGCTTTCTAAAAAAAAAAAAAAAAAA